GGGTTTAGGGGTTTAGGGCACTTTAGGGGTTTAGGGGTTTAGGGTTTAGGGGTTTAGGGTTTAGGGGTTTAGGGGTTTAGGGTTTAGGGGTTTAGGGGTTTAGGGTTCAGGGGTTGCGAAAGGGCCCCCGTTTTGGGGGGGCCCTCTGCAAAGCCTCTGTCAGTCAAGACTGGGGCTGAAGCCGGAGATGCAACCCTAAACCCTAAACCCTAAACCCTAAACCAAGAAGACTCAGCTCCACGCCTGGTCCGCGATGGCCGAGTTCCGGACCGTGTTCTCGAACTGGCACAGAAAGAGCTGAACTGAAGTAATATAGTATAATATTATATAATATAATGTAATATAATAGTGTGCAAGTACACACATCACTTCTTCAGTCATAGGCCGTTGCCTCGCTTCGGGACTTTCTCTGATGCACGCTCATTGCCAGTTTTCGCCTCTTTGGCGTCGATCAAACGCGACGCATGGCTCCTCGCAGCCAGGTCGGCGCCTTGCTTCTATAGGCCTCTTCGCCGGCTTTTGCTAGCATCCTATTTCTTCCGGCCGAAAAGTATGCAGTATGGCAGCGCCACAAGAAACATCCCGGCAAACATGTTCCCGAGTGAGACGGGCAGCAGATTCTGGAGCAGGAACTGCGCCCAGGACACCTTGGCGCCCGCGAAGATGCCCGCCGGGATGATAAACATGTTGGCGACCGAATGCTCCAATCCCAATGTAACGAAAGCAGAGATGGGAAACCAAATGGCTATGGCCTTGCCAGCAGTGTCTTTGGCCATCGAAGCGATGTACACCGCCATACACACCAGCCAGTTGCACAGGATGCCCCGCACAAAGACCGTGGCAAAGGGTAGCGAAGTCTTGGCCACCGCCAGCGTCACAGTAGCACCGCCGCCGGGCATGGTGCCGGCCGTAATTGCCAGCCGAGCTACACCCACTGCACCCACCAAGTTGCCCAGCCAGGAAAGCAGCAGGGACCTCGCCAGCTGCTGCAGATCGGCCTTTCCCTCAAAGACCGCCATGGTCACAATCGCCGCATTGCCCGTGAAGAGCTCCGTGCCCGAGAGGACCGTCATGAAGAGCCCGAAGGGAAGCCCAAAGGAGCCGAAGATCAACTTCTGGAGCCCTGGGTTTGTCTCGGCCAGGCCCGGGCAGTTCCCTCACAGGGGAAGTGAGAAGAGGAACAAAAAACTTCTATGGCGAGTTCAATGCTTGGGGTCCTTCTATGCCATCCTGTTTTCATCGTAGCAGTTGTCTAACTTGTCCATACCTAGACCGAAATGGTCCGGCAGCTTCCGCGCCTCCTACGGTGCAGGCCAGGTAGGCGCCATAGCCGATGAAGGCTCCAGCTAGGCAGCCCGAGAAGAAGATCTTCTCCCCCAGCAGGTTGGCCTTGGCTTTGCCTGCAAGCACAGCGCCCTCAAAGCCCTCCGGAGGCGGCGCCAGAAGCGGCGGCGGCATCTGCGTCATGGGGCCTACCTCCCATGAGAAACTCCCCGTGATACATCAGCCGATGCTGCGGGGCACAAGTCGTGTGAAGCGACAGCCGGACTATCTGGAAAAAATGCAAAGAGCAAGTCCCTGCTGCCACATGTCGCAGTCCCCACCTCCAATGCCTTCGTGTTCAAGGCAACAGCGGCGTTGGTGGCCTGCCATGAGACCCTCGTCGAAATCACCGAAACAGATCTCTGAAAGCGATCATGGAACTTCCAATGCCCTGATGCAGCAATCTGGACGATGCTGCCTGCTAACACCACCCACAATGGACTCGCAAGATGTGGGCACATGCAAGCACTGCTTTGAACTACATAATGAAGCATCTCAAAGCTTGTCCGGAGCGGAAAGCTCCAAACCCACTGGGCCTTCATGGGAAGGCTTGCAAACTCCCCCGAGAGCCACCCAGTCATCTCCCCTTGCAGCAGCGACTGACTTTGTAAAGCCCTCAGGATCATACATACATACATACATACATACGTACACACACACGTACATACATACATATATGCATGTATCGCTGGTTGTCTAAAGTAAAGTTCCTGTAGGGTCCAAAGTATGAGGGTGCTGTACAAAGAGTAGAAAGGTACAGGGCTCCCTGGTAGGACGATAGTGTTGACAACTACGCGTATGTATTTATATATATATATATGTGATGGATGGATGTATGGATGGATGGGTGGATGGATGGATGCATGGTATGTATGTATGTATGTATGCATGCATGTATGCATACGCATTCATATACATGTGTGTCTATTTAGACCTATCCATATCTTTGAACATATAAGTATATATGTATATGCGTATCTACATATGTGTATGTGTGTATATGTATATATGCTTACTTGTTTGTCTGTTTATATAGTTGTTTATGCATGTTTCTATCTGTCTGTGTGTCTGTCTGTCTGTCTCTATCTCTGTGTCTCTCTGTCTCTCTGTCTCTCTGTCTCTGTGTCTCTCTGTCTGTCT